AGCCCCCAAATTTCAGCCCAAACTCAATTTAAAACAGTTTTATTTTAGCATTTGTTACGATCACAGAAATACCAACATTTGAAAAAATTTCGAATGAATTTACCTAGTTATAAATACGCTATGTAACAAATCTTATCAAGTTTTTATCAAAGAGTCATACAAATATTTTTTATTAAACGTTATAGTTATTGCTTGTTTATGAAATAATACTCTTTATATTTCTAGTTATTAATATTTATAATTTTGAATTAAATAATTTAATTTAATAATTTAATAAATAGTATTAAAATTTATAAATAGTAAGTGAGTGGAGCAAGTATATGAAAAGTAGCGATTAACGATGAATCGATGTTGAAGTTGAAGCCGTCGTTCTGTAATAAATGAAACATTATTTTGGTCAATTTTTGTTACAAAAAACCTAAAATACTAGGGCGAGTTATATATTATATACGAATAATTAAATTTAAATTTTAGTAAAAAAAAAAAAAAAAAAAAAGGTCTCTAGGGTAGAAAGGAATTTTAGACCGGTATGCCCAAAAAATTTCTGGATACGTCAATGTCTATATATATATATATATATATATATATATATATATAATATATATATATATATATATATATATATATATATATATATATATATATATATATATATATATGTATATTTATATATATATATATACATATACATATATATATATACATATATATATATGTATATATATATATATATATATATATATATATATATATATATATATATATATATATATATATATATATTATATATATATATGTATATATTTATACATATATATATATATATATATATATATATACATATATATATATATATATATATATATATATATATATATTTATATATATATATTTATATATATATATATATATAAATATATAAATATCTTTATCTATACCTATATCTATATATATATATATATATATATATACATATATATATATATATATATATATATATATATATATATATATATATATATATATATATATATATATATATATATATATATATATACATATATATATATATATATATATATATATATATATATATATATATATATATATATATATATATATATATATATATATATATATATAATATATATATATATATATATATATATATATATATATATATATATATTTAATATATGTATATAAACAATTTTTAAATGTATTCTACAAAATAGAATGCTCAATGTCCTTAAAAGAAAAGAGCAATAATAAATTGGTAGAAACTCACTTGACAAATTTTTTTTATTTAAAACTGTTTCATCAATAAGGGCTCATCAGAAATAAATGATCAAATTAATAAAACTTCAATTTATAACAAAAATTAAAATAAAGGAAGTCCCTAACGTCTTAAACTACTGTAAATTTTCATATATTTGTGGAATATGCTGACACTATTATCAAAAGAATTCTTTATAATTGATTACTTCTACTTTTTTTTTCTTAATTTTTGAAAGGAAGGGATTAATTGTAATGATTAACTGCGCTCACTTATTTATATACTTTCTTTAGAGAAACTTATTTTCATGCCAGCAATTAGAAATTAATTCCGATTTTTTGTTTAATAAATATTTTTGGTTTGCATGTAAAAGTATTTCAAATTTTTCTTTTAGGCATAGTACGCATTTTTTGGAAATATTGTTAAATGCAGGTGCTGTTTTAAGGATGGATAATTCATTAAAAAATCATCATTATTTTTTTATTTTTTAATTCCCATATATATTTTGAAAGAAAGGTATCTTTTGAATACTTTTTATTTTTAATGGATTGCTTGATTGGCAAAACGTTTTTTCCATTCACCCTCTGTTAAGCCCATATATTGTTTATCAGGTACACTCGAGAAACAACACATTTATATACCATGTTTTTGATAAACAATTTCCACTCAAAGGACAATTGTTTTTTTGTTAACAATTGCAATTATCTGTCGCTTTTTCATTCAGAATTTTTACTAAGACTTTTCCTGTGTTAGTGGAAACTTTTTTATTATCGTTCTATTTTATTTATCGTTCTTAAAAAAATTTCAAATTTTTAATTAAAATCAATATTTTATATTTACTATTTGATAAAATTTACTTTTTTGTAACTTATCCAACTTATAAAACAAATAATAATGAGAAAAATGTATTTAAAGATGGGTTGAGTTCATAATTTTTTTTATATGAATTTTTGATAATTTATGGTTTTTAGTTTTAATATTTAGTAAAAAAATATATAACACAGCAAGAGAAATTTCATTGGACCTATATAGGCATTTTAGGTGTTTGCAGTTTTGTTCATCATATACTTAATGGACCATTAGTGGCAGCAGCCAAAAGTGGATAACATGAATAACCACTATATCACTTGTTGGAATGTGAGTTAAACTCCATTTAACTGCTTAAAATGCCTATATAGGTCCACTGCAAATCCACTACAAAAATATTCGCTGAGAAAGTTTCAATATGTAGTTATTTATTATCATTATTACTATTATTACTAATATTATTATTGCTATTATTATTATTATTATTATTATTATTATTACTATTATTATTATTATTATTATTATTATTATTAATATCATTATTGTAATTATATGATTAAATAAATTTTGACAAAAAAAAATATCTTGTTGTCGCTTTTTATTCAAGATAGATTTGCCAGAAACAAGGTCATTAGAGTGTCCCAAAAAACAACATTTTTTAAAATAATCTGCCCTCACCCCGTAAATGTGTTCTATATAATATAAACACTAGGTTTAAATTTTTGTTGAATAAAAAATATTTTAAGGGATCCCCCAAGACCCTTGAATATTTAATGGGTGCCTAATATTTTCAAAAAACAAATTTTTCGAAAATATTTTAATCTGGTACTCAAATGAAGCAAAACTATATAAAAATTTCAAAAATAATATTCATTTTGAAGAAAAATTGTTATTTTTGGTTTTATTACATAAAAAATTGCGTTTTTTAACAAAAAATGAAAAAAATCATTTTTTTAAGATAATTTTTATAAGTTAAAATATTTTTGAAATGAATATTATTTTTGAAAATTTTATATAATTTTGCTTCATTTAAGTACCAGAGGTTGACATATTTAATTTTTTTTTTTTTTTAAATATTAGTGAGCCATTAAATACTCAAGGTTCTTAGGGAAACCCTTAAAATATGTTTTATTCAAAAAAAATGTAAACCTAGTGTTTTTGTATTAGATAGAACACAATTAGGAGAGTGGAGCAGATTATTTTCAACAACTGCAAAAATGTTAACTAGATACAAACAATGGGTGTATGAAAACAAATTAAACGAAAATGTTGAATCTCTAAAAAAGTTTATTGTTGAAGAAGCAGATTTTCAAAATGCAGCAACGGAAACTCTTCATGGTTTTAAAATCAAAATATTAAAGAAAGATGGGAAACAGCTAAGAAAAAGCTGTACATATACCCATAATCGTTTGCTTCACAATAAAAGACATCAAAATGAACTAATTTCTGAAGACTTCAAAGAAAAAGACACAGTAATAGAAAATTCTCACACGTCGAACATCCAATTTCATTCAAATTACGTCATGAACAACATATCTCTTAGAACGGTGCCAGTTATTCTTGGTAATGGAAATAAAAAAGTTATGGTAAACGCATAGCTTGACGATGGAAGTACCAAGACATATTTGAACTCTGATATAGCAACTGAGTTGTCACTGCAAGGTAAAACCGAAAAGGTAACTGTAAACATGATAAATGGAAAATTTGATTCTTTTGAAACGATGCCGGTAGAATTCGAGAGGGAATCGTTGAATAAAGAAACAAAAAATGCAGCTTTTACGGTTAATAATGTGACTGGAAACTTAAAAGTAGTTAATTGGGAAAATTTGTCAAAAAGTTGGAAACATCTAAGAAAAAACGAATTCCCAAAATATTGAACCAAAACCACAAATTGACATTTTAATCGGTGTGGATCATGCTGAGCTGCACTGTGAAATTAAGGAAGTAAAAGGAGGATTTAATGAACCACTGGCTTGACTCAGGCTGCTTAGATGGACATGTGTTGGTGGTACTTGTGGATCCCTTCAAACCCATTTTACGAAAATAACATCTATTACAAAAGAAATAGAAGATGCAAACAACGCCATTCAAAAATTATGGGAAATTGAAGGCGATGAAAAGATGCAATTCAAAAAAACTATGACAAGCCCAGAAGACACTACCGCCCTTAATATAGTAACTACTTCGCTAAGAACAGAGAACGGAAAATAGGAGCTAAAATTAACATGGAAAAGTAATAGACATTTGGACAATAATTATACAATGGCGTTAAACAAACTACAAAACACGGAAAAAACGCCTAATGAAAAACAAGTCTTGGAGAAGAGTACAATAATATTATTAAGCAGTATTAAGAAAAGGAATACTAGGAGAAAATCAATAAAAGAAATCTTGGAGATGGTTGGTACTTACCACATTTTCCAATTCTTCGTCCTGATAAATCAACTACAAAAGTCAGAATTGTGTTTGATGGATCTGCAAAATATAATAGTAAATCAATTAATGATGTTATTTATCAAGGTCCAAAACTTCAACAAGACCTTGTATTTCGAAAATACCCAGTGGCTTTAGCTTGTGATATAGAAGAAATGTGATTAAAAATTGAATTACATAAAGATGACCAAAGTTACCAACGAATTTTATGAAGAAACCTAGATCCAACTGCCATGCCTGAGGTGTTTCAATTTAATCGACTGATATTTGGAATCAACTCAGCGCCTTTTACAGCTCAATTTGTAACGCAAGTACACGCAAGAAAGTATGAACGAAAATTTCCTTTGGCTTCTGAAGCTGTTCTTGAAGCAACTTACATGGACGACAAAATAACTTCTGTAATTGATGAAAAAGTAGGAATTCAATTATACAAGGAACTCACGTCACTATGGGGTTCAGCAGGAATGTTTGCACGAAAGTGGTTTTCAAACTCGGTCAAAGTTTTTAAGATAACACCAGAAAATGATTGGGCAGAACATATAAATTTAGATTCTGGAGAATCGCCTGCAATGAAAACACTTGGAGTTGTCTGGAAAGCAAAACCTGATTTATTTAGTTTTCATTCTGTAACAACCGAAGAAAAATGGCAACGTTGTTCATCCATTGGGCTTTTTAGCGTCATAAATAATTCGAATCAAAATAATTACGCAAGAATTGTGAATTGATAGCATTAAGTGGGATGATGCAATACCGGATAGGATTGCCAACAATGTTGATCAATCGTTTCCAAAACTAAACATTCCCAGATATTTACAAACAACTTCATCAGTTACAAATAGGTCAATACATGTTTTTATGGATGCGTCTTGTAAAGCTTACGGTGCTTTTGCTTACCTACAATGTTTATATGACACAGGAAAAGTGACTTGTGTAATCATAATGTCAAAAGCCCGAGTAAGTCCATTGCAATCTATTAGTATAGCAAGAAAACACGTTGGATTACACCGTTAATCGTGTAATCCAACATGTTTTCTTAAACAAAATCGATCAAACGTAAATCTGGTGGTCGAAGAAAGAAGGGTTTTAATGATAAAAACTAGTTAGAAAACTGGTTAACAGTTTTAAGACTAACCCAAGCCTTTCACTAAGGGAGCGCGCAAACATTTATGGACTTTCTCATAGTTTTGTTGTAAAAGAAAACATAGTTTTCATTCTTTCAAAGCATTAAATGTGCCCAACCGATCTGAAACTCAACAATAAAGTGCAAAAACCCGCTGCAGAAAGTTGTATGACAATTTTATTTCTAAAAATTTCTGTATTATTGAAGACGATGAAACTTATATCAAGTACGATCATCAGCAAATTTCTGGTGCCGTCTATTATAATGCCAAATATAGAGGAAAAGCAGATAAGAAATTTAAATACATAAAACACGACAAGTTTGCTAAAAAAGTCTTGATTTGGCAAGCTATTTGCAGTTGTGGCAAAAAATCAGCACCTTATATTTTTCAGTCCACACTTTCGGGTTAAATGTATGTTAAAGAGTGTTTACAAAAACGTCTTTTACCTCTCATTAAATCACACGATAAGAGACCTGTGTTCTGGCCAGATTTAGCTTCAATTCAATATTGTAAACTAGCTTTGGAATGGTATAAAAATAATAATGTGAAATTTGTGCCTAAAACAGAAAATCCTCTAAACTGCCCAGAATTAAGAGTTATTGAAAAGTATTGGGCCATCATTAAAAGAAAAATGAACAAAAAAACAAAAAAACATTGCAGAAGTATTAAAGATATTAAAATATCATTTAAAAAAGCATCAAATGGCTTTAATTCTTATTCTGTGCAAATTCTCACCAAAGCAAAAGTTAGAAATTTTTTTAGATTCCCACAGGAATAATTTGATTTTTTTTTTTATATTTGATCTTCTTATATTATTGTATTAAAGTTATTACTTGGTTAGAAATAAAAATTAAAGAGTACTTTTTTTGTTACTTTTCTACTTTCACATTTATTTCGTATACACGCTTTATTAGAGTTGGAAGTTACTGGAAGAGAAAAGATGAAGTTTATAGAGCAAGATAACAATTAACAGATAACTTCCAAGATTACAATTTATATGAGTCAGGAAAACTAGATAAAGGTGCGAATTCCAAAGAACTGATGTTCAAGGGAAAAAAACTAGACGAATAAGAACCTTTGGAGCACTTAATCACAGTAAAGGAGTAGACTTAATTGAATGACAAGTAACACGAGAACGAATATTGTAAATGGCACAAGAGATGCTATCTCTGTAGAAAAAAGATTACCTGAAAAAAATTTAAATTAATGGCTAATGCCAAAATTTCTGTGAAAACTGGTTCAGTAATGATTTCTTTTTTCTAATCAATAAGTTCTTTGATTTCCGAAGCATCAAGGTTTATTGTTTGTGAAACTTTAAAACTATTGCATTTAAATTCTTCCATGCAACTAAACTGTCAGTGCTCATTTGCTTGACAAAATCTTCACTGATATTAACTAAAGGCTCCATAAAAGGAATTTGTGTAAATTTTGTAATTCTTGCAACATTATCAACTTTAGAAAACAGTTTACCAACTGCCCCACACCATCCTTTTCCTGTCAAGTTTTTTTACAATATGACGGAATGAAAGCTCATTAATATAAAGCCAGCAAAATGATCTAAAAAGTCTTTGATGGATAAGTTCCTCCTAAAAATGAAGCACTCCACCTTTTCACCTAGACATTTCATTTGTAATATAACTACCAATTAATTGGAGATTAAGATCTTCATTAACCAGTTGAATAATCCAAAAGCATATTGTTTGGCTGTTTACATAATTCAGATTTAGGCTCTGGTGTATATTGAGTAAGACAGCGACCTCTAGGCTCCTTTATCACAGTTATATGGTATTCTTGAATAATTTTTTTTCTGAAGGTACCTGTGGTCTTATCGTGCATAAAGACTTTTATCTTTTCTACCATCAACAAAAATTTCAGTGATTATATTTATTTCACAGTCTATATTTTCTTCTACTCTAGAACACTTCATAGCGCGCTATTTTGCACGAAAAACTTTCATGCTATCACAAATGAGATTATTTTTATTTTCAACAAGTTTTCCTGCCTTCAATATATCTTTCAGAAAACCATTAATGATAGCAGCAGTAGCAGTCAATGACATACCAAATCTGACAGAGGCAATGGTAGCATTACTAATATTAAGGTAAGTTTGTTTTAGATAATTTTCTTGTTTTTTTAATGTTGAGTCTTCTTCGCTATCACTGACTTTATCGCTATCACTGACTATATTAACATTAGAATTATTATTCATTTCTGCTGCAACATCCATATTTTTAGCGTCAAATCTAATAGTAGATGAATAAAATGTTCTCGACAACTCTGACTCTTCTGGTTGTCAATTGACCCTTGCTTGATTGATTGACTTAGGAACGTTTTTGAACCTAAGCTTAACAGTTTTTTTAACATCTAGGCAAAACTCTTGTATAGATGATACACTACTTTTGTTTTTCTCGCTGGGTTTCAATCAAAACAAGCCTTTTTTGTGGAATTCTTATATGTAAGTTACATTTGCAAAGGCAATGAGCACGATTTTCACAAGATTCTTTGCAAGGGGCATCATTCTCATCGCAGTAAACAAATTTGCATTTACAAAAAGCAATGTCTAAAATGTTATCAAGTTTAGATTCCCAGTATTCTTTATTAGCCTTTTGGGCTTTGTCTCGAGCTATCTTTGAGAATACAGACCAACCACTATCGAGTCTTAGTTCTATAGCTTAAGTACCACAAACTATAGGCTCTTTAAACTCTGTGTTAGAAATATACTATAGCTCTGCAATTTCATGGGCAACATTAAAAAAAATTTCTTGCATTGATAAATTACGTGGATTTTTTTTATGAACTAGTATTTTTTCTCTTTGCAGATCAAAACATCGCTGCAAACAATCGCGTAACGTTAGAATTTCAGTTTAAAGAAACTTTCTTGGACCTCCAAGATATTTACTAAGCTTAGTGCGGATAGATTTTCTGGTTTTTGTCATTCTTCTATTTTAAATATATTATGAATCTGAAAAATAAAATAGCAGGAATAATAGCAATTAATATGAAAGTCTATAATAGCTATTATCATATTTATAAGGTATATTCGAATATTAACTAGCACAGATACACAAAATAATAGTTTGAAAAACAAATAACATTTTAATATAGTATAGAGTTCGAAGCAGATGGTTGAATAAATTGACAGAGATTGAGAATTTGAGTAAGTCCATTAGAGTAGTAGTTGCATAGGCTGAACCTATTTCTAGCATACACAAGAAAACTGGGCACTTTGGAGTGAATCAAACATTAAAGTAAATCCAACCGCTACCAAAAATGGCATTCGAGAAGTAATTAAAAGTTGTAAACCATGTCAGTCAACAGATTCAGCACCTGTACAATGGGTGAAGGGGAAAATGAGAGCTAAAGAAAATTGGGATTGGGTAACCCTGATTATCACGCATTTTGGTAAACAAAAATTTCTTACTTTAATCAATTGTGAACCTTTAAGATACACACCGTGGCGACAACTGGTGGAAGTTTTGCCATTAATCAAATAGTTCCCTGTTCTTTTGTGAGCAAGGAGCGCCATCTGAAATTTTGACAGATAACAAACCAAAATTTTAAAACTGAGAAGTTAAGAAGTTTCCTTGATGGTTAGGGAGTGCGCATTAGGTTTTGAGCAGCCTATTATCCCAAAAGAAATGGAATTGTGAAAAGAAACCATTAAACAATTAAAGATCAAAAATGTCAATACCGGAAGCAGTACTGGTACAATGTCTCAGCCGACAAAAACAATGCAAACCCGATGGAGAAAATATACAGGTATCAAATTGATGTAAAAGGATTGAGAAAAGATAATCTTCCAGCAAAAGCTGAAATAAACAAAACGTTTAAAAATGATGATAACGTATGGTTGAAACCACCATATGCAAAGTGCCATACTAAGTGGCAGCCAGCAAAACTAACTAGAAATATTTTAAAACAAGTTGTAGAAGTTAATGATGTTCCACGTCATGTAAATGTATCCAATCTCAGAATGACACTTGAACATTATGCAATATTCTAAAAGTCAAAGTAAAAATGAACACAAACAGTGATCAAGATAATGCGGAAAACCATGTTGAGTTGTAAAAGTGCGTTGGATATGAATCAAGAAGACATACTACAAACAAACGGTGAAGCTGAAAATGGATTCCAAGAAACAGAAGTACTGCTGCCACAAAGTACTAAAGAATTGCAAATGCCTCAAATATACGAAGATTATTATTTGTATGATCCTTAAGGACCAGGCAGGAGTGTAAATTTGGTGCAGAAAGTTCAAGAACGTTTTATGGCAATAACATTTTTTTTTAATTAATAGTTTTTGATTATTTTAAATTGTAATTATGTATTAAGTGGTTTTTGTGATGTTTATTTTTGTGGATAGTTATTTTATATAAATTGATGTAAAAGTTAAAAAATAAATTAGTGGAAAGAAAAGAAGTTTTGTTTTGAGCGAGAAAATTAAAGCTTCAATTAGCCTTTTACTGTTTTAAAAATGCCAACATCTAATGGTTGTAAAAAATGGCTAGTATAAGCCGAAAAACATCAAAGTAAAATAAAATTTTCTATAGCTTTTTTTGTTAACTTTAACCATATATTTGAAGCATGGCCATCAAGAATTAGAATTTTAAAACTTGAAAGTTCAATTGCATGAAGCAAAAAAACTGTTTTAAAGCATAACAAAAAATGTTCGGATTCTATCCAGCCTGAACTACAACTGTTATAATAAACATTCTCAGATTAGTCTTTCATAGTATTTTGGCCTTTATAAATTACTTGGTGGGGTAAATAATTGCGGAAAGCGTCACAAGTCAAGATTGTTGTCATTTACTTTTCATTCAATCTTACTAGCTTTTTAAAACTATTTGTTCTTTTTCTACAAACAGTTTCGACTTTGCCTTAATCAAATTACAAACCATCACAATTAAATATATGAAAGGTTTTATTGTCTAAATTATTTTCATCACATGCTGCTGCTAATTGTTTAAACCAATTGTTAATTATAGCTGGCTGAGTGACCACTGCTCTAATAGTTTGCATGACACTTTTCTTGGGCAAATTTCTATACCGTATTTATTAATGAAACGAGAGTACCATTTTCTAGTCGGTTTGACCTCTTTGTATAAACTAGTTTGATTTGATTCTTTTAAATTATTTTCAATAACAGTCAACAAGACATCTTTATTCAAGCTAAACTCTATATCAATCAAAAATTTTAATAAATCAACAATAACTGCTTGAGTGATGCTGTTCATCTTTCTTGGCATTCCTCGGTCATTAGATGTCATTTGTTCTGTTAAAAAGAGAAGATTTTGCCACATAACATTTAGCACCTAAATATGACTTATTTTTCAATAATAGCCTGAATAACTAGCTGGATTCGACTCTGGATTTCATTTTTCTTATTATTTAAATCTATCCATATTCTATAATGCAATAATACAATTAATACTTATGCATTAACTTTATGCACATAAAACAATAAATACCTGTATCAAGATTCAAATTTTAATTTTTTTTTTTCTGGTGGCTAATTTACTTTTTACTTTTTTTATGCACATAAGATAATAATTACATGTATTCAGATTTATGGGTCTATTTTTTTTTTTTTTTTTTTTTGCTGGTGGCTAATTTTTTTTCTAAATTTTTGGCGTACGTTATGGACAACCCTTGCTAATTTTTGCTAGTGGGTTTGTTAATGTTAGCTTTAATAATTCATTACTTTTCTTTCTATTAAATTATATAATTATTTTCTAGAATGCTAAATGTAAAGCAAAAGCATGTAGGTTTTTTGCATTACGATAAAATCTAACTTTTTCACTATTTTATGATTAAGGTTTAAAATTTTGCTATAAACAAAATAATATTTATTTATGTCGTAATTGCAATAAAAATAAAACTAACCTGTTATAATCATAGCAACACCACTGTAAACTTCATGTGTTTTAGCGTTTAATCTGCATTAAAAATGTTCTACAATCAACTTTGAACTTCTGATTTTTAAAATATCTCAAAAATCCAAAAAAATATATTTTTTCAAAAAAGATGATTGTGTTGCTTTTTATGTTTAATCTTTGTATTTTATTACCTTGGTAATAATTATTAAAAGCCGCATAAAGATTGCAGCAGTTTTAAAATAAAAATATTTTTTTCATTTCACCTGTCTTAAAAAAAGCTTTATAATGCATGTTTTTTTATTGAGATGAAATGTAATATAACCTTTATTTAACTAGGGTCCCAACCTGACCCAGACTTATTACAAACCAGGCCCCAGTCCCAGGATTAGGAAAAAACTTATAATACAATATAATATCATAGGTTTATGTGAAGAGTGTATTTTCAAAATGCGGTATATCCATTTTGTGGTATTGAGATAATTGACTTTTTTAGTCACACCAACATGTCTCATATATTTGGAAAAACTATTGTTTCTTAATGTATAGATAAAGTATATTACACAATGTTAATAAATAAAATATTAATAAATAAAAAAATTTATTTTTTTTGTCAATAAGTTTGCATTTATTTTCTAAACACTGTATATCCAATTAAAACTTGTTAGCAAAATGCATACCGCATTTTATAAAGATGTTATGAAAAGTTTATAAACTTTAAAAGACCTGAATAAGTTTTAATGATTAATTTTATTTAACATATTGAACAAATATGTGTATTTAATGTTTGGTCATTATATTTTATTTATAATGTGAATGTAAACAATGTTCTATTAAAGTAATGTAAACTATTACATTTCACAATTCGCAATTGTAAGTTTAAATTTGTTTCGGAGAGTTAAATATGGACAATAAACAATAATACTTTTTTAGTGTTGTGTAGTTGTAACAATGATGATCACTATTTTTAAGTCTCCATAGAATTAATGGACAATTAATATAACATAAAAGTCATCGTTATATTTTTGAACGAAATAAAATTTTAAAAATGAAAGACTGCAATAGCCTCATTTTATTTGCAACAAAGCAATTGTCGGTTTAACAAAAAATAAAAAGGAATTATTATTATTGAATGCTTTCCATTAAAAAACAGGTAACAAATATATTTAAACTTATTAATTTAAGTTGCCTTTTTAATATATTTTCTCTCATTATTCCATAATTAGTTCAGTTAAACAAACAAAACATGGTAGTTTAAACGAACACTAGAATTAAGAAATGCTTTTCTTTTCTTTTGTTTCATACATTATAACTTTTTTTCTATGTGAAATAGGATATTAGGTAACGCATTAATCTTGTCCATCGTAATCCGCCATTTCTTTAACGCAACTTTAAAATATTTACGCTTGCGCAGATATTTGCGCTTGCGCAGATATTGCGCAAAATATTTGCGCTTGCGCAGAAGTAATATAAATTTGCCACGGATTGGTCAAAATTAAATACCGCATTTTGAAAACAAATAAAAAATTTTATACCGCGTTTTGAAAATAAATGTTTTTTAGAAGTAGTAAAATATTGGGTTATACTTCGTTAAGCATATATTCGGACACAATGTCTGCTAGGTATATAATATAAACTAAAAATAAACCACACAATTTCTAAAAAATTTTTAAAATGGCGTTTACCGCGTTTTGAAAATAAACTCTTCATGTATACATTTACTATTTATTAAATACTGGCATATAATATGGATATATAAGAGTATAAACATGTCTGCTATTTATTTATATGCTGGCATACATATACAAACTTAAGTAGGGGAGAGTAACCGAAATTCGAACACCTAAGGATTAAATATTTATTTAACCAAAAATTGTTTAACTATAAAAACATTTATGATTTAATCAATACAAACAGGCTACCCTTCTATACTTTTAAATATGGGTAAATAATTATATACTTTTACCTATGGTTTGATAGCACTGTTATAAATAAGATAGCACTGTTAGAAATAAATTCAGTTTTGTCAAGCCACCATTTTTTCCAATCTAAGCAACCGGTTTCCTTAATTAGAATAATTTAATTCCCTAATTAAAATCAGAAGCTTGCTTCTTTTCAAAAAATACTTTGTAAAATCAATAGAAAAAAATGACATTTAAACAGCTCCAACTTATTTAAACAATTCCAGACATTTAAGCAATTCCAATTCATTACAGTGACATTTAATCAATTTATTCAAAATATACTAGAATTAATATTGCCCGACCATAATAAAGTTCTACTAACAATAAATAGCACAAAAGCCTTAACTATTATGACATTCTTTTATTTTATTAACTAAAAACTATTAAATAAAGTATTATTTTCAAAATTTATGATTGTAACTATTTTTTTCTAAATTGCGACTGAACTATTTTTTCAACCCTTTATTTGTATCACTAATTACGTGACGATCAAGGAAATTTCAAAATATTTTAATATATCACTGCATTATCATGCTTGTGGCAATTTTTAAGATAAGTTCATGATGCTACTTGCATTTTTAATCCTACCACATTAAACCAGGCTTGGTCGGGAAGCGGGTGTAATCTCACTCGATAACTGACCACAGAAATAATACTTAGTTGCGAAAAACCGTCCAGATTTTTTAGTCGCTTTGAGAACATTTAAGTATATATATGTTTCCTTGTTTGTCCGCAAAATAATAATTAAGTTCATTATTTTATCGTAAAATTAAAAATATCTGGTTTTAAGGACATACATGGAAACATACATAAACTCAAATGTTCTTAAACATTTTTGTGCGTAAAAATAAAAAAAAGAATACAACAAACCGAACACAAAAAACCCGCCAAATCTACAAACAACTAATTCTATTGGTTCAAAAAATACTAACCAAAATTTCTAGAGTATTCAAAAAATACTAATCCAATGTTTTAGAGTATTCTTTTGAAATATTTAATAAAATTGTATTATTTGAGTTTTATTATGTTTTTGTTAAGATTTCTAGCATTAATTGTTTTAAGAATATACTATCAAACAAACTATTAATTTAATTCTCGGAGCCACATCTACAAAGCTATAAATGTTTTAAACTAACTTATTTGTTTGCAAAAATAAATGTTTTAAATTTATATTTTTTAACTCGTCAACGTTTTGTAAATATGTTATAGATTTTATTAGTATATTCTTATTTTTTATATATAAGGGATGTATTTTTTATTTTTTATGTATGTAATGTATTTTTATGTAGGTAATGTATTTTTATGTATGTATTTTTTATGTATGTGATTATGTATGAATGTATGTGATTATGTATGTAATTTTATGTATGTGTATTTTATTCAAATGTAATCTATTAAAGCAATTTATGCGATCGATTTTGTAAACAAATATACTTTCAATAATAACTGCATTTTCAATGAAATTATTAATAATCATTAAATAATTTTAACCACTAATCCATTTTCCTTAGTGTACCCGATAACTGATTCTTTCCCCCAGAAAGAAAAGCTTTTAAGCCATTAGTAATTGGTTTATTAACTTCAATTATTTTTGCTTTAGCCATTCTTACAATTTCGTTATACTTAAACTTAAAGTTACTTTTTTTCTATTTTAAATACTAATTAAAATTAGAAAGTCCACTCACTGAACATTATCAGCGGTATTGTGAAGCAGTTCCGCTTTCTCCTCACAAAGTAATGTAACGTTTTTAGTTAATTTTTATCTAGCTAATTGAATTTCTACAGTAACTCAAATGATTTAATTATTTTATTTGTTTATCTTTTTAAACTACGCGAATCATAAAATAGTTATTGAAAAAAAAAATTTATTTATAAATAAATCATCTAGCATTAGTTTTATTGGTTGAATCTTGTTGGACTTTTCAGGGCCGCATTATTTTGGTGGCTTATTTTATGTGCCACAGCGTAAAAATGACTAAAAAAAATACCGAATGGTCCTCTTGACTATTTCGCGGCCCCTAACATTGTAAGTCCCGGGGCTATAGCCCTTCTACCACCACCCCCACCCCTTACCTCCTCAATCCAGCACTGGAAATAAGATATAAGTATATAAGTAAAAACTATATACACTCTTTGATATATCAAAGAACATTTGTTTCCTTATTAAACAATCATTAATAGTAAGTTGTTACTTTATATTAAAAATGTCGCATAATTTTATAAAAAAAAATATAAAACAGCGACGTTTCAAAAATAGTTGCTCTAATCGTATTTATTTTGCTTAAAGTTTTTTCACGTTAAAAGCTATTTTTCTTTTTTTGTCTCTCATCGGTCCAGTTAGTCTTATTGCGCTTTTTTGTTTGTTTTTGAAATTTTCTCAAAACGACTAAAAAAATCTAGCCGGTTTTTCGCAATTAAATATTATTTCCGTGGTCAATTATACAGTGCGATCGTACCCGCTTCCAGACCGAGCCTGCATTGAACACGAAAAACCATATAACTTAAGTAAAGTTTTCTTCGTGCAATCAATATAGTGTGAAAATTAATTTAGATCATCTACATAGAATGGCGCAAAATAATGCACATGCTTTTTTTGTGTGAGAATTTTCAAAATTTCTCAAAATGTAGAAAAAAATACTATTATTTTTGAAAAGTATAAATTTCAAAAATAAATATAAAGTATAAATTTCTAAAATAAATGCAAGTGTTCCAGTTAAGGTGCAGCTCCCATTTTAGCAATTTAAATAGTTTTTGAGGCAAATGGAGTGAAGATTCACAACTCAACAGTGGGAAAAAGGTTTATTGAATCTGGAGAAAAAGCAATTAGACCACATAAGAACCAGTTATTGACGAAAAACATGAAGAACAAATACACTTCGAAAAACAAAACCAGCTACTTGGACAGTTGATGGATGGGAAAAAAAAACTTTTTTCCAACGAGAAAAGACCCAGGTTGTAGTCCAAGAACAGCGGTCAAAATACGTAAGAAAGAGCGGTGATAAAAAATTAAAAGCTGCTCTATATAAACAAACTGTATAACATCCTTAAAAAGTAATATTTTAGGTCTGTTTTTTATACTGCCCGGGATCATTCAAATTC